CAGCTCGTAGAAGTTACCTTTTACCAGTCGGTGTTTTTGTGCCTGTCCTGTTCATGTGTCATCCCTGGGCCAGCTTCCTTCCATTCTCAGATGCTCTTTCCAGCCACTGAACTCGATGCTTCTGCAGACCACCCTAGCAAGCCTCAGCTGCGGGTGTTCTTCCCCCTGGTTTGGCTCCTTCTTCCTCCGCGTGCTGCCAAGTACCCCTCGGCAGCCAAGACAGCCCCTGTTCCTGCATGTATTTATTACCCAGGGCAATACTGAAAAAGCAGTGTGACCCACTCCGTTTCTCTGTGCTCAGGCATACAGCTCCGTGGACACTGTGCAGAAATCTACATTCTCATGCCTATTTTAAGGTAGTAGGTTCCTTAGTTGCATTTGAGTCCCGGGGTGAGATTTTTTCATGGGCCACTCACCTTGTAAACAGACATACTGTCTTATTCTTACTATCTGCCTAGTCCAGTAAAATAATTTAACAACTTGTCCTTTTCTAAGTCTTAAGTTCAGCTTTCTGTGTAAGATACTTGATATATAGGCTGATTGTAAAATCAGGTTCCAGTTCATTGAGATCAGAGCTTGCTAACAGACGGTCTTCCCTAATTTTGTAGGAAAATTGTCAGTGGTATCACATATTTCAGCTCTAGTTTTTCTTTTTTCTTAAATATGGTTGATATAAAAACTCTCCTGGGTTTTGAATGCAGTTGTTCAGACAGTAAGTTAAATTAATGTACTTTGTTGTTTTTGTTACTGTTTCACAAAAGAAGAAAGACAGAGCTCTTTCCACGTTTATGTAACCGAAAGACGTTTGACCCCCAGTGTGGACTCTACTCCAGCTGAGGGCTGTCCTGGTTTCCCTGCAGGGCGGGGCCAGGAAGGACTGGCCCGTGGGGCGCCTTCAGAGAGTGCCGCCTCCCTTCGGAGCTTCTGAGGCTCTGATTTCTCCAGCTGCCTGCGATCCCAGTACTCTGGGAGGCTGGGGCAGGAGGATCACAATTTCAACCCAACATGGGAAGGCAACAGCCTTTCTAAAAGTGAAAAATAAAAAGGACTGGGGATGTAGGAGTGTACAGAGGGCCTGGGTTCGATCCCCAGTACTCCCAGAAGGTTAAAAAACAAAAAAAATTGACTCAGTAGTAGAATTTAGCATGTTAGGGATGCAGTATATATGTAATTTTTTTTTTTTCTTCTGACTCGTGTGGTGGTGTTGGAATGGTTTCGTTTTTCTCTGTGGAGGACTAGTCGTCCAGGCTGTGTGTCACTCACATATATAAGAGTGAAAGGGGCCGTGAGCACAGTTATATTCTTGGAGTCTGCTGCTTTTTAAACCTGGAATTATACCTCGAGGATGTGACAAGTAGGTATGTCACATAATTCTTTTAAATAAAATTCACTTTATTCCTTTGACTTAAGTAGAATTTTAACCAAGCACTTATCAGAATCCTATTGCCATAGGCTTCAAGCTAATTTCTGGGACTGCCATTTAATTTCCAGTGAACACCTTAAATGAAGAGATACAAATTCCTCCATCGGAAAGGTCAGTTCTGGTATTTGACGGGTCCAGAAAGGTCCTGCACTTGTAGCTACGAGGCCTAATTCAACCCTGAGAGATGTGCAGCCTTTGGGGAATCTGCAGTTTGGGAACCCGAGGGCAGCATTTTCCGGGCTGGTGTGCCTTGGGAAGATACTTTCTACTTCTGGGCGAGGCAGTGCCTGGGGCTGCCTCGTTGTGGGCTAGTTCATGGCGTTTTCCTAGTAAAAGAGAGAGGCAGGTAGCTCATACTAATTTTCGTACTTCACAGCAAGCCATCTTAGGCTCTTGATGCCTTTTAGGTGTGGGCAGGTTGATTTGTAGCTGCTGACTTTCTCTTCCTAATAAACCTTGTGGATGGTAAAGATCTTAGGGAGTGAAACATTAAAAATGAATGAGGAGAACAGTAGTTTGTCTAAGGTGGGGTCGAGAGGGACCGGGTGGGGGAGGCTTAACAAAAGACATCGATGTTTTAAATGCACAGAAATGCCATGCATCAATAATACATGGCGTGGCATAGAGCAGATGTGCCAAAGTGAGTTATTACAGCAGATGGATCAGCTTCTCGGGGGGAGAGGCAGCATGGCTGGTGTTTCTGTTGCTGTGTGCAAGCGTTGGAACACAATTTTGAATTTTCCATTTTTAAGTTGATAGCTGTTTGATTGAGGTGTTTTTTCCCCTGTTACTCTAGGACTCAAACCCAACACCTTGCACATGCTAGGCAAGTGCTGTACCATCGAAAGTTAGGAATTTCCAAAAACTAATTAAATTGTGAATGTCTCTGAAGGAAAAATTATTAAGGATGAAGAACTTTTGCTTTTTGGAAGAGGAAGACAATCTGAAAATGAATTTATTGCTCTTACAGCTCAGTACTTGCTTTTTAAGAGGCCATAGTATAATTGCTCTAAGGGATGAATTGCATTACAAAGCTCAAGTTTCGGGATTACCCAGAGTTTTCGACATTTACATTGATTGTATATCTGGGTACCTCTTAAGTATGGACTTAAACTTCCAACAGACCTCTCGGGAAATCTCACTCATGCTTCAGGATCAGTTCATCACCTCAGCATTTTGATTTAACTGCTAATTCTTTTTTTTTTTTTTTTTGTGGTACCAGGGATCGAACTCAGGACCTTGCGCTTGCCAGCTAGGTGCTTACGCCACTGAGCTATATCCCCGGCCCTTAACCACTAATTCTGTACCAGTACTCTGGGTGAGAAATCTCTCACCTCATAGGGGAAAGAAAGAGCAGTATCAGCGTAATTTTCTCATAAATAAAATCACTTCTGGCAAATTGAATAGAAAGACAAATCTGTCTATGGACTGGAATATTTGATAGGCGTACATATTAAGGAAATCAAGCTTTTACTGATCTTCTACATGTGTAGAGTTAGTGCCACAGCCATAGCAAACGTACGTCTTGTCTGGAACGACTTCAGAGTTCCTGAGTTGGAACTGATGTCCTTAGTGAAAGAGCAGACCTGTAGCACATGTGGAACTATTCTGTTCATCTTAACATTGACCCTTGTCTGCCTTTTTGGAAATTTGCTTGGAATTGAATATCTCTACCTTGTTGTCGTAATAAAAGTAATTCCTCTTTGCTTTTCATAACGTGAGTAAAAAGTTACATAGTTCTCACGTGTAATACCAAGGGGGCTTACACTTGAGGTTTGTTACACTGGAAAAACGAATGACTTAGCTGTTATGGAAGTTTGTTTAATTTTTGGCAGTGAATGTTACAGTTGAACATGGATAGTGATTATACAAAACGTCTATCACTAGCTCTTATTTTAGCCATCTGTATTGTTAACCTTCCACTTTTTCAGGTTCACAGTCTGACCTCTCACCTCCATGGAATCCTAGCAAGCGTTACAAAAGCACTTGTCACTTGCTCGAGCCACCAAGTAAATCTCTTTTATGGTGCTATCAGAGACCTAGCTCAGAGCTCCCGCTCCCTCTGGAAGGTGCCCGGTTGGGTGCACAGTGCACTTCCCGAAGTCATCTCAGCCACCCCTCCTCTGGCTGCGAAGAAGGTGCTGAAATGTGAGAAGGCTGGTAGTGAGATGCAACGGTGGGTCTAGGCATTTAGGAGGGGAGAAACCCCCGCATTTCATAGCACATTGACTGGCTTTGAGTTGCAGCTGCAAACAACGGATATGAATTGAACCAGTTGCTGCATTGCAGCTGGCTCGGATCTGGCTTTATAGCTGGCTGAAGTCAAATGAAATGGCTGGAAAATTCCAGTCAGGTAACAGCGGTGGGAACATGTGGAATTAAATAGTGTGAGCAAATGCTGGCTGAGTTGGGGAAAAACTTTAGACATAAACTTAAGGGTGCTGGTGAGGACTTGGGGGGCACATTCTGGCCTTTCTGGCAGCTGTCAGTTGCCTTGATTAGTTTCCTTGCAAGAGCTGGAAGGTCCCTCCGTCCAGAACAGTTCTCAGAGTTCTTGGCTTGTCTGCTGTCTTTCTTGACTGAAGTCACCTGATAATTTTTTTTTCCTCAAAAGAGAAAAAAGAGTAAGCTGTTACCTCAGTTACTAACAGTAACGCAGATCTCAAAACGTGGTCCTTTTTTCTTTGAAACAACCTTCCTATCTCGTGTGACACAGAACCCCGTGTCTGCCTAGTTACCTTTCTTCCTCCACTTTCCTGTGTGTCAGAGGCACTGGTGTGAAGGTTCAGGATGGAGATCGGTAGATTTTATGTAATATCTATGTCTGACGTGGATATGTTCTAATTGAAGATTCTACAGGGAGAAAATGGGCTTCCCAGAGGGAGGCTTTTATCACATCCCTAGACACTTCCTTCTCCGAGTTGTGTGCTGGACTGGAGAATTGAGAGTTGAGTGGGAAGAGATCTGAGAAGCTGCAGGACCCCAGAGTGGTGTGGAGAAAGCGTTGCTGTAACCAGAGTGGGGCAGACGCTCTGCCGGTGCTGGGGCTGTGCGTGCCGAGCCGTTCCCTCTGTAGGGATTAGCTGGGGATGCGCAGCGTCTGGGAAGCGCTGGATGCTTCCCAAGGCACACGATTGGTCACTGGTGCGGGGGTTGCCCGCAGGTTGCTCCATCTCAGCGTTTGCCTTAAGTTTGCAGTGAGAGTCACTTTTTTTGGAGTATTTGGTGACGGTCCAATGAAGAATCTGCAGAAAGCAAAGTTGTGATAGATCGTTCATTAAGCCCCTAAAAGTTACCAGGTAACTTAGAAAGGAACTTTTGTTTTTGTTCCCCTCAGAGCTGTACCTTGCCTTTTCCCCGGAGGAACACCATTCTCTGCCTTCGGAAGGGTAGAAAGTTCCTTTAACGCATATTCCCTGGGTTTACACGAAATCTTCAGTCCCCGGGCGTGGCACTCTGTGCTCACCGTGCGTTTGCGCGGCAGGAGACGGAGTTTGGGGACCGCCTCCAGCCTTCCGCCCCACTGTTCTCCCTGGCCCGCCCTCGTGTTAAACTGTGGACGCATTGCTTCCCACAGATCACGATCATCTTCAAAGCCCACCACGAGTGTACAGATCAGAAAGTGTACCAAGCTGTGACAGATGACCTGCCAGCTGCGTTCGTGGACGGCACCACCAGCGGCGGGGACGGCGACACCAAGAGCCTGCAGATCGTGGAGAGGGAGAGCGGCCGCTACGTGGAGATGCACGCCCGCTACATAGGCACGACCGTGTTCGTGCGCCAGCTGGGTCACTACCTGACCCTGGCCATCCGCATGCCCGAGGCCCTGGCCATGGCCTACGAGGAAAGCCAGGACCTGCAGCTGTGTGTGAACGGCTGCCCTCTGAGTGAGCGCATCGACGACGGGCAGGGCCAGGTGTCCGCCATCCTGGGGCACAGCCTGCCTCGCACCTCCTCGGTGCAGGCCTGGCCCGGCTACACGCTGGCCACTGCCAACACTCGCTGCCATGAGAAGATGCCGGTGAAGGACATCTATTTCCAGTCCTGCGTCTTTGACCTGCTCACCACCGGTGATGCCAACTTCACCGCCGCAGCCCGCAGCGCCCTGGAGGACGTGGAGGCGCTGCACCCGCGGAAGGAGCGCTGGCACATCTTCCCCGGCAGCGGCTCCAGGGCCCCGCGGGGGCGCGGCGCTTGGTCTGTCAGCCTGGGACTCGTGGGCTTGACCCTTGTTGCATTTTTGTAGGGCTTTGTCTTTTGGTTTTGTTTTTTTATTTTTATTTTTGTTTTTTTTTTTTTAATTTTTTTGTCTATAACAAAATTTTAAAATATATATTGTCATAATATATTGAGTAAAAGAGTATATATGTATATACCATGTATATGACAGGATGCTGGTCCTGGTTACCACCAGATTGTACATATTGTGCTTGGCTGTTTTCACATGCGTTGGATGTAGTGTTCTTTGATTGTATCAATTTCGTTTGGCAGTTTTGTGAAATGTTTTATAATGTCCCTGCCGGGGGACCTGTTAGAAAGCACTTTATTTTTTATATATTAAATATTTATGTGTGTACCTGGTTACTGTACAGTACATATACACAGACACCGTGCGCGATGTTCCCTAGGAAGGTGACCAGTTGTTGTAGCTGTTCGTGGCTGTCCCCTCCGCCTCTGCGCTGCTACTGATTGCCCGTGTGCAGCTCCCACTGGCCGTGTCCTGGTGGAGCCGCCGCTCTGCTTGGAAGTGTGCCCTCGCTGTCGGCTGCCCTCACCCGCTTTGAAAGGATGGCAGCTTCCTCCCCTGCAGATTCTTTTGCTTCTCCCAAACGCTGACCTAAGTAGGAAGCCCTCTCGCTAGCCGCCGTCGCTTTTCGGGAAGGTGAGGAATATTGCTGCCATTCTTACCGGCTCCTGCTTCCAGTTCTGTTCGAACACGTGACGTGGTAGGTTGGGCCTGTGAAAACTGCTTTTAGCTGAAAGGGGTCTGGTGACGGCAGCTTCGTAGATAAATACCAGGCATCTTGCTAGACCTCAGGAGCTCTCAGACTCTCACCCCATGCCCCAGTTTAAATTGTAAGTTTTCCTCTTTTAACTCGCTTCATTAAAACATGAAACCACAAACTTAGTAATAATCATGACTTGTTCTTTGTGTAATTTGTGGACGCCCATCATTCTTAGCTTTCCCTCTCCTGGCTCTCGGGACCCAGACAACAGCAACTTGTCTCCGCCACACTTGGCTGACCTCAGCCTCACCTTACGGATCCACGGCCGGGGCTTGTTCAGTCTTCCTCTGATAATGACACCTAGTCATCACAGAAGTTCTCCATCTTTCCCTGCCCTCCACTGCTGGTCTGCAGGCCTTGATGTGCCTTTATGCACAATGAAACAGTAGGATATTAATGGCAGAAAAGCTTCTCCAGCCTGACTCGGGACGTGCTTAACTATGGCTGCTGATGAGTCCAAACAAGTAAACGTGCTGCCCAAGTACACTGTCTTTTACGTCAGATACTCTCGCTCCACACCTGTAGTTGAATAGTAATTGCTCATGTAACGTGGTGAAATCTCCATATAACAGTGATCTTCCCCCTTACTCTTCCTTTCCATTCTTGGTACCCTTTGTGAAAGGAAAAACATCTGCAACAAAAGGCAGGAATAGTAATGGAGAAAGTTAAGTCCGGGGCTGGGGATGTAGCTCAGCGGCACAGTGCCTGCCTGGCAAGTGCAAGGTTGTGAGTTTGATTCCTGGTACCAAAAAACAAAAGTCCAGGATAGGTAAAATTATATTATTATATCCAACTATAAGTTTTGCTTCTAAGAGCTGATACAATTTGTATTTAAGAATTCAAGTTTACATAACTGTGAACAAAAGGTGATAAACTTGAAATGCCATTGTAATTTACGCTAAGGCTATGCTTGGTTTTAGTTGCCCGTGTGATATCTCTTACTGTGTCCTCTTGACCAGTGGCACTGCCAGAGACTCAGACTGACCCCAAAAGAAGATGTCATTTTGTGAAGTTTCTTAATGCACTGAGGTACCAACTAGTTAAAGGGTAGAATTGTGAGTTCATTTAGGAGTGGCAAACGTGTGCTTCTGGTGTATAAAAGAATAATCTTGGGGCAATGTAGGTTAATGATGAAGGCTTCCCGCTACTATTAAACATTCAACTCCAGGATGGGACCTAATTCTGTCATCCCGCCATGGAAGCTGAACTGGGTACCTGCCTACGTCACCTGTGAGCCACGGCTGCTTCTCTCCATCTGTGGAGCCGCTTGCCGATTTCAGCTTTTGTAATTGAGAACGCGAAAGAACACTAAGGATACCTTTAACCACTATTTTTGTGCAAATAGTATAAAAGTAAAGTAAAAGCAATAATAGAACTTTCTACAGTACATGGGTTTAGAGTGTATAGGATTAATGTACCTTTGTGAACACAAAGCATTTTGCTAAGATTCAGGAGAAGGAAACCCGATCGTTTTGCCACATCATTTAGCTGGAAAGGATGCTTGGAACAGCCAGAGTGTCCACTTTCTCTCCCTTTTTAGTCAGTGCCCTGTAAAACCTTCAGAGACCCCACAGGTGACTATGAACCCAGTCCAGCTATCACCGGTAATACTCGCATTCCCTTTAGAAAGGTTTGTTTTCTTGAGGATTTCTAGAGGAAACGCTGCCTGCACGTGTTGGTTCATGAAATGCTTCGAAGACGTTCAGGTCGGCCCAACACGTGGATGGGCTGCAGCTGTTCACAGGTCTCCCGGGGGAGCTTCAGCCTAGGGCAGGAGTACTGGTTTTCACGGGTGCTCCACGTGGCTGTCTTTAAAAGGCTCAGAACATTTGTTGTCCTCTCCTTTGCTTGGAACCTCCCCCCGCCCCAGTGTGTCGAGTCTTTGCAAAGAAACCTTTCGATGTGAATACGTATCTGTGTCAAACAGTTGAGTGTGCAGTGTGTAAATACTTTAACTTATTATGCTAGAAAAATAAAGTGACGGACCATGCTGTGGAATGTTCGTTCTGTGGTTACAGTGACACCTGCTGGAGGAGCTGAGAAACAGCTGCAGCAAAGGGAGGGGTTGGCACAATCCTTAACAGTTGCAAAGTTTTACTCCCTGCCCACTCATTTGCTCCATTACTATTGGAGTTTTCCCTGTTATAGAATCTAAGCAATTACAAATAAGCCACTATCTGAGAATGGTCACAATGTGGCCCCAAAGGCCCATCTTCTGCAATAGTTGCTCCCTTGAAGATAACACAACCTACCCCACCTCACCCCCAGGTTTTTAGGCCAGTGCGGACCCCCAACAGCTTACTCCTGGTGGGGAGCACTCTGGGGGCCGGGATTTTGGGGCTTTGGAAACCCCTCACTTTTGGAGTTCTAAAGAGGGACAGCACAAAATCAGAAGTTGATCTTCACCCAAAAAACATACCAAAGGGTAGAAAAGAGATTAAAAGGTTCAAGAAAGCCCCGCTGGTGTTACTAGCAAGAGCTGCTGGAAGGAGCAGATGGCGAGTGCACGGGACGTACACACAGTTCGTAAGGAGAAGCCTTAGCCGTTGCAGCTAGTGTGTGTAGCAGCTGAGAGCAAGGCAAAACTCAGGTGAGCTGAGCCACACGAAATAGGACGGTGCGATGGAGTCGCTGCGCGCCTGGTGCCCGTGTCTGTCTGTGTCACGGGAGTCTGTGCTTGAAAGTCAAAAAGTTATTCACCCCGCCCTGCTCCTGCCTAGACCTCCAGATTTTCAAGGATCAAAACTGAAACAGCTCCAAAAACCTAAAAGGGAGATCATTTTCTTAAGCAGCAAATGACACAAACCCTCAGAATCTTCTTAGGTTAATGATTTTTTTTTTTTTTTTTTTTTTTTTTTGTAGCCACGGCAATGACAGCATTTTATTGTCTAAATCAGCCAGGACAACAGTCTTAGGTTGTTGCTGTCCTTCCTGAGCAAAGACACCTTGCTGCGGAGTTTTCCCTGTTTCCACAAACTTCTATTTGTGTGTGGACTGAGGGACATGTCCTTCCCCCGCAGAGAGTGGAATTGAGACGTTCAAGAAGAGACATGTCACAATTCTTTATTGTTTCATATTGTTTATTTCACTTTCCGTCCCTTTTCTGTATGTTTCCAAATGGACAAGTCAGATCCACAGCATTATTATTTAGATGTTGTTTTCCTTTGAACGTAGTGTTCTTCCCCAATTGCCCATACTAAGCAAGATGTTTGAAAGCCTTAACAAAATGGTGGAATAAGACACTAGCCTACGTACTGAACTATGAAGTCATGTTTGGAGTGGTGATATCTTTGTGCGTCGTCTCTCTTCTGAAGAGCGCAGGATATAGAGAGACGGGGTCACCAGAGATCCAGGATGACGCACGAGCATTCTGAGGAGCCACAGTCTGTGACTCAGCCTCATCAAAATGATGTTCAAACGGGGCATGGTGCTGCACATAGAAAGCTGAGGCAGGAGGATCACCATGAGTTCGAGGCCAACCTTAGCTTTATAGTGAGTTTAGAGCCTGCCTGAACTACATAGACCCTATCTCAAAAAAAAAACAACAAAAACAACCCCAGCAAAATGATGTTCAAACAGTGAGGCCAACCATCAACTAGAGTGTATTAAAATGGGTCCACCAGACTTCCACAGGAAGGAAGCAGTTGGCAGTGTACTCTAATTGAACATTTCTCCTGGGTGGTATTTCCTATGATCTATCTTTTACTTCCATAATGAAAGTGCAAACTCCGGGAAAAAATAACGGCGCATTTTGCCACCAGATTATTGAATGTAGAAGACCAACCACAGATAACCAAGTAGAATTGCACCTGTCATAAATAACATTTTTTAAATAGGATCACTTCAATCAATAATTAGCACCACCAAGGGAAGCAGTGCTATTCTGACAACCCAGAGGGCCTCCAAAGCCTTCTAACAGGAAGTAGTAAAGTAGGATTCATGGAAGGCAGAGACCAAGTGCGAGAAAACATTCATTTTCTCGTGATGCCTCTTGAGCTGCTAGACTCTAGTGCCATTAAGGCGCTGTTGGTCCTCAGTGAGGACGGGATCTTTATTGATTAGCTGGCTGTGTGTACAAGGTGCAGGGGGAGCTCTCTGGGCCCGAGTCTTCTCAAGAACATTCACTTTCCTTCTGGAGAAATGAGGGAAAGTTTACCTTAGAAGCAGAGAGCAAGGTTGGCAGCAGAAAGGAGGCACTCACAAAGCTGGGAACCAAGTCTGGAAAGCGGCTCGGGTTTTCTCACTCTGTAAACATTTTCTTTCTCACTTTGCAGGCTGAGTTCTCTACCTCACAGGTACTCTCAGTGGGACCTGGCCAGGTTCCATCTACCTCAGAGAGTTCACAGTCCTTGGGCAGGATCTCCCTGGCTTAGTTTAGGCTAGAAAAAACAGCCTAACAAAATAGGAAGCAGGCCTATTCATAGTATATATAGTAATATATACATCTAGGAATTAACCTAATCAAGGAGGTGAAAGCCTCTACACTGAAAATTGCAGAACAGTGAAAAAAGTTGAAGACACTAACTAAAAGATTGAATACGGCAAAGCTGGAGTTATCACAATACTGTGTCTAGTTTCAAATGATACTGAAAAGCCATAATTTAAAAAAATATCATGAGACTGACACAAAAATAGACACATAGACCACTGGAATAGAATGGGGGATGTACAAACAGACACACGCTATTATGGCTGCCTGATTATGGATAAAGGAGCCAAAAATTAATTTAGCCTGTTTAAAACATGGTGCTGGGAGCCAGGCATGGTGGTGCACACCTGTAATCCCAGCACTCGGGAAGCTGAGGCAGGAGGATCGTTG